TGCCGGCGTGCTGCCTGCTGCGCCGCCTCACGGACTACGCATACTCATGATCTCTACTCTGTTCAACAACTTATATCTCAAGTACAATAAATTTATAAGATATTATTGTCTGTTTTATTTTTTGAAATACGTATTTGTAAAAAAATATATTAAAACACACCTAGAATATTGTCCCATATACATTAGATCCAAGAATATATGTTCACCGTTATTTATTATTCAATTTTATCTTATTTTCTATATTATCTTATTTGGTATCTTACATTAGTTTTAGTAAATTTTCTATTAGGAAAATTAAAACTTAATCTTTTGTAGTAACTATCAATATATATACAATAAATAAAAACGCCCAAATCACTTTAATTAAATTTTATTAAAAATGTTGTCCTATAAAAAGAATAATTAATATTTACAACTTATTTACATAACGTTATTATAAAAGTATACAGAAATATTTACAAGCAAACATTCCATTCCGTCTACAATTAAGTCATCCATACTTTTACATTGAAAAATACAATTTCATTTTGATGTTACAAACTCACATTTTCAATTATACACAAATACAAAAATTTTAAATTAAAAAAATATGTAAATCCAAATGTTATCTCGATTTCTATCGTTTGTACTGTTTTTAATTTGAATAAACGATTTCAACTTTGTACTGATTTCTGATTTTTTTTACTCTAATCAAATTATAAACCATACATTTTGAACTTAAATATTAGTCTGTTTAATATTTCTTTCAAGCATAACCAAGTCTTTTACATCTTAATTTAATATTAATACATATTTTTGTACAGTCTTAAAACTATGTGTTGTAATTTCTGAACGAAGTTTAAAAAACGCGCGAATTTTTAATCTTTTTCCGTTTAAAAGCGCGCACTTTTATGACCGTTTTAAAACAGCCAATGATATTAAAAAGGTAGACGAATAAACTAGTAACTTTTTAACCTTTAATTCGACGGAGTTTTTTTGTAGCAAAACAAACTGATTTTTTAGTAGTTTTTTTATTGAAATATGATTTAAATAGTTTTTTTTTAATTATTTGTTTTTCACATTGAATACTATCGAATTAAAGGTTAATTATAGGCAGTAAGAGAGCATTATATTTAACTTGTCATTTCTAAATTAAATTATTCGAATTCCAAATAATTCTTTTTTTTTGTCACTGGCCAAAAAAGTTTTGTTTTCTATTGTATGCTATTTAAACATTGTATAATATATTTTGATATCTTAGTTTGTAACTAACATTTAATATTACTTTGTAGATGTAATAATCACTTTTTAACATAATCCTTACATTTCACTGTATTTTAATATCGTTTATTTTTGAGAACTTTAAACTTTAATTGACTTTAAAATCTAACACCAACTTCTCATTTTAATTAAGGGCTTGCCCCACCACTGGCTGATAGATGCTCAGATAGCGTAAAAGTGACGCCACTTTCAGATAAAGTACCAAAATCCGATACTTCCATATGTTATACGTTGGATTGTTATCTTATTTTAAGGAATTTTGTGACAAACCCTAAAAGTTGTGAATTTAAAATTAAAATCAATTTGTATTCCAGTCTTTGTGTAGGAGAGTTTTCAAACTCTGTGCGGTTTCTTCTGCGGCGCGAGGATCTTGAGCATGGTGACGATGGGCGCCTCGAATGCCACAGAAATGACGAACGCGAAGAAATATGACATCACTGTCAATCCCAGGAACAATACGAACTGCAATGATATTGGTATTAATATTTTAATAATTATTGTAACTTGTAAATTAACTAAAAGATTTTTGTACGTAATGTCAATACATTACGTACAAAAATCTTAAAATTTCGTATTTATAATGATATAAGATGGAAAAACTTTTTTTTATTTGAATACACCATAATCATTTCATGGTGTAGTTAAATAAAAAAAGTTTTTCCATCCATGAATGTATGATTATTTAAGTTTTCCGCCTAAATCGATGAACAGATGTCGATGAATTTATGTAGTCTGGAAGAACACATAGGCAACTCATTGTTGTTTTATTTCCACGCGGACGAAAGCTAATTACGATAAGAAAGAAAAAATAAAAAACAACTTTTTATCTGCACATTACTGAAATAAATATAGGCACTTGAAAAATATTTTTAGATGTCGTCACCTTGTGCGTTTACCTTGTTTTTTTATTGACCGACTTACCAAAAGAAAGAAAGTTCGTCTGTATGTTTTTTTTTAATGTTGAAATATATAAAATGTGACTCACAACAAGCAGTTCGCCGAGGTGTATGGGGTGTGTGAGGTGCATGGCGACGTAGCGCAGCAGCACGGGGTGCACGAGGTAGGCGCAGTACGTGACGCGCGAGAACGGGTACAGCACCGGCGCCGACAGCAGCGCGCGCACCCAGCCTGCGCACCACAATGCACATACGTAATGATAGCTCGTCATGTAAATTATACAGATATCTTGAATGAAAACTGTGTGTGCATATTATCTAACTAATATTATAAATGCAAAAGTTTAGATGGATGGATGTTTGTTAGAGTTTGTAGCCTAAACGGCTGAACGGATTTCGGTGAAATTTGGTACAGATGTAGAGTATAGCGCGGAAGAACATATAGGCTACTCACTTTTGTTTTTTTTTTTTTAATTCCACGGCTACAGCTAGTTGTAACATAAACTTGACACTATAGAGTATAGAGAGATTTTTGAATAAGCCAGGACTTGTTTATTTTTATTGATGCGAGGCTAATGCCGTTATGACCTGGTGTGATATTAATATAAGCTGTAGTATTCGTCAAAATGCTTTATTCTCATTGGGATTATTAAAAAAAAATCAATAAAATAATGCTAATGAAAATTAGTATGTAAGCATAGACAATAGATTTGCCAGATAAGTATTCTACTTTTACTTTTTCAGCTCCGCAATTCGCAATGCTAAATTTTATAACAGCTGAAGTATGGACAAATAAAAATTGTAAAAATTACGTTATATAAAACATCTCTTCAAAATTTCAGAAACTGGACTATATCGTGTTTTAAAATACACGCAGCGACATCTAGCAGTGGCGCGTGAAACTACACATTTATCATAAATAACATTGCGACATATCTTTGAAACACAATTGTAGTGTAAGAGCGCACACTTTTTACTAAACTATCGCACAATATTTTCAACGCTTGTCCATTTTTAGTTATAAAACTAAACAGTTGAATCGACAACAATCGCACAACTGTTGTACGATTGTCGATTGTTTTGCACATAATTAGTGACAAGTGTAAATTTTTTTCCATTAGCTAATTAATATAGCTATAATGCTGATGTCCACTCTCGTCAGTGCGTGTGGTAAGACAAGAAGCCAGTAGCCAGTAGGGCAGGGTGNGGAGACACGTACCGCCGTGTCCGGTGGAGCAGGCGACGATGACCCAGCCGATGGCGGCGGCCCACAGCGAGTGCGAGAGCGCGCTGTAGGCGGCGGCCGCGCCCACGCTCAGCTGCGCGCGGTACAGCCCGAAGATCAGGAACAGCAGCGTGCCCGCGCACAAACACCACCCCACCCACACCCAAATCTGTCACAATTACATAAATATAGTTGTAGTGGACGTATTTGAAATTAATAAGTTCTCGTTAGTAGATACTGACGTCTTTATTCCCATAAAACTGAACGACAAATTGATATTTATACTGATTCGCAGAGGCCTTGAAAAACGCTGCCACTTGCTACAAATATCTCTTTAGGTGCTAAATCAAACGAGTCTTTTGGAACGCGTTGCCTCAAGGGGTATTAAACGCTCCCGAATTTCTTTTTTCGAACGAATTTATGTACAGACATATCAGCGAAGAAATTCAAATATTTGTGTGAAGTCAATACGCAGTGCAGTGTGGTTGACTAAGGCTTAGTCGCCACTTAGGGTAGATTCTGAGACCCTCAGTGAGTACGTATAGAAGATGATAGTGGTGGTGATGATGATGATAATGATGATGATGAAATAAATATGCTAAGTTACATACACAATTTTTTGGGTAAACTGCTCAGTCTTTAATCAATTTTTCTAAATATTTATTTCGAAAGCAACATGATCAATTGTATATCGTACCCTGTTCATTCTGATTTTCAAGTTGGTCTTGAAGAGTATCCAGCCGGTGGCCATGCCCACGAGGTAGGG